CGATATCAGAACAAGCTAATGAACGTATGCTGCAACACTGCAAGGCGAATCGAAAGTGATTCGCCCTTGCTCGAACAACAAATACGAAAGGAAAGAGTCCAGCACAAGACGAACCCGTCACTAACACATCCGATCCGATACGCTTGGGATTAATCCAGAAAGATGATCACTTCCTGCGGCTTAAAGCAATTCCCTGGAAATCCGCAGAATGTGATATCGAAGTATGGGGAGTCCTGTACAACGCCATTATTGATTCTGGAGCAGTTGTCTTAGCTATCTCACTACGAGTAGTCGAAAGAGCGGGAAGAAAGAAAAATCTGATTATACTTAAGCAAAAGGATCAGCTTGTCTCAACAGATGAGGAAAATATCAAAACAGTGGGACGAATGACCAATGTTGCTTTTTGACTAGGTAAGGTGCATGCTCTGGGAGATGTCGTGGTGTTAGGCGTCAACACTTATGATGTTCTTTTGGGTTTACCTGCTTTTATGGCTCTGTGAACCAACTTGGACTTCGAAAGACAATCGATTATCCTCCAAAATACAGGAGGAAAACCTTACGCCATACCTATGAGACTGACCCTTCGTACTACCGTTAATGTAACCCCACAAGTTCCTCAAGTGATGGCAGAAACTCTCCGTGTGATCAACCGGGAAAACTGCGCGGACGATGAGCAATCATCAAAAGATGCGGATAGTAGTGATGAGGATGATGCGGCAATTCTGGAATTGGCGCGACAACGCATCAGTTACCCTGCGCAACGAGCAAATGCAAAACCTCTTAACCTGACTAATTGAAACTTGTAGAGGACACGGACAATGATTCTGGGTGAACCTCTCGTACAGATATCGAGGATGGTCAATTCTTTGGAACCCCCTCGAACCCTGTACGAAGGTATCTCCCCTCTCCTTGCGCGATACAAAGACAAGAGACACTTCTACGACATCACGAGCCTCCCGTGATCTCTTTTGCCACCTGCAAAAGAAATACGATTGCTACGCTTAAGGGCGGAGGCCAATTCCTTGGAACCCCCTGAGCGCCTCGAAACCGGACTCATATCAAAACCGCAACGAAACCCGTGCCATGGCAGGATATTCACGACGGAGTAACCCCGGAGGAACACGTGGTCATTCGAGAGCAGGACGCACAAATGATGGCCACGGTATTCTCTTGGCGATCAGATAACTCATTCAGTTCCGCACCCCCGCCTGAAACCACTAAGCGGAAGAGTACGAAACAAATCGACATGCAGATATGGAACCAGTCGTATGAGCTGCACGTGCCCCACTACGTACCTGACGAAATCCACCAACTCATCGCGAACATTATAAAGGAATACCAGGGAGCGATTAGTGTGACAGACATAGACATTGGACTATCACTGGTCATACAACATGAGATTCAAACCAGAAACCATCCCCTGATCCACTGTAAACCCTACAGATATTCCCTAGTAGAACGGAAGACAGCCCTTCAACGGATTCGGAAGTTCGAAGCTAATGGTTGGATCGAACCCGCCACTGGACCATGGTCATTCCCGGTAGTATTAGTGCCGAAGAAGAATGGGTCCATTCGCATTTGCATCGATTATCGGAAGCTGAATGATATCGCGACCAAAGATGTGTATCCCCTTCCCCGGATTGATGATTTGTTGGATGCGATTGAATGTGCTAATTATTTCAGTAAACTTGATATCGGTCATGACTTCCATCACATTCTGGTTAAGGAGGAAGATCGACCGAAAATGGCCTTCGTACTGTTTGAGGGCACGTGGCAGTGGGTTCGGTGTCCTATGGGGATTTGTAATGCACCTGCTACGTTTCAGCGGGCCATGAACGTGACCTTTCAGAACTTCGTCAACAAGACGCGGCTGACTCAGGGAATGATCAACTTCTGCGTCATCGTGTACATGGACGACATCCTAGTCTACTCAGAAACCTATCATGGGCACGCACAACACATCGAGTGGACACTGGGAGCTCTGAGAGACGCTGGGTTCAAGATCGCGCTTGAAAAAAATGAGTTTTTCCTATCGGAGATCTCGTTCTTGGGCTACATGGTGACACGGGGAGGACTGTGGCCAGATTCGAGAAAGGCCGCGGCGGTGAAGGATGCCCCCGCTCCCACATCGCTGACGCAGGTTCGAGCCTTTTTGGGACTATCGTCGTACTATCGTCGTTTCATCAAGGGCTTTGCCGCGATAGCAAGGCCCCTAACGAACTTGCTGCGGAAGGACCAGACTCTCAGTTAGGACGCCAAATTGAGCAGGCCTTCGCTACCCTCAAGGGCGCCTTGGTTACAACACCTATTTTGATCCGGTCGGACCCTATGAAGCAGTTCATTCTCATTACGGACTGGCAACCAGAGGCAATTTCCGCCATTCTAGCGCAAAAGGGGAATGGAGGTCGTGAACACGTCATCGAATATGCATCGCGCACAGTGCCAGACGAGCGGAGGAACCAGTCGGGCCCGCAAGGCGAATGTTACGCCGTGGTCTGGGAAATTTAACACTTCCATCCGTATCTTTACGGACGGAAGTTTCTTCTAGTGACTGATCACGAGCCGCTGCTGGCTCTGAAGAGGCTCACTAACTACATTGGTATGATTGGGCGTTGGGCGGTACGCCTACAGGAGTACGATTTCGACATTGTCCATCGGAAGACGGAGAGGCACGGAAACGCCGACGGGTTGACACGTCTGCATCAACCAGCGAAGGTGCCTAAAGGCGAAGAAATCATTCCGTGGAAGGAACAGGAATACGGACAAGTGGCAGTCCTTCCACGTGGCAAGAAGCAGACAAGTGACAATGGGGGACGAAGGTAATCCTGCAACACCTCTCTCTCCCCTCTCACCTTCATCTCTCCTCTCTCTTCCCGACAAATTTTGCTATTTTTGCGAAGCGATTTCACGCGTTTATTCCGTCCCTATGAATCCTACCGGGGAAGGATATGTCGAGTGGGTAGATTGTCGGTAGTGTATCGCGCGAGCCCATGGCTCCTGCATTCAGTATCGAAATGGCAATAAGCCTTGGTTGTGCCCCTTGTGTCGAGTTGATAAGATCCCGATCGAGGCCCGATTTCTCGACGCCGCGTCAGAAGGGTTAGAAAAAACCCGCAAATTTGGAAGGGCCGAGGTATGGACGGATATTGCTTTAATTGTCACCTTGGTAGGTAACCCCCTCCAGGACTTCACTAAGGAGGACCGAAGGAGGGCAAATCAAAGGGCTCGGGATTACCGCTGGAACGAGGGTCAGTTAGAGAAACGGAAGACGGGCGGCAGTGGGATTTGGATGGTAGTACCGCACCCATTCATGAGGTATGACTGGGTCAAGACGGCGCATGAGGAGACTGCAGCCCATTTTGTCGTCCGAATCACGGAAGCGGCGATCGACAAAAACGAGTGGTACTGGTCTAACATTCGCGACGATGTGCAATTCATCGCCCAGAACTGTCAGGTCTGCGCTGCTGACAAGGCGCCGATTCAGCCGCCACGATCAATAGTACCGACGGTAGTTGAACGATCGTTTCAGAGGGTTAGTATGGATACTATTGATATCGTGGTGCCCCCTGGACCTAATAGTTGTGAGTATTCAATCCTGTTGGTATTTGTAGACCACTTCTCAAAATGGATCGAAGCATATCCGTGTCATACGCGACAGGCGGCTGAAATCGCGCGGTACATCAACCGTTTTCTAGGAATGCATCAGACCGATAACGGGGTGAATTCAGAGGGGAAGTTTTGAGGAACCTGGTCATACACGGCGTCGCCATACGGAATACTGCACCCCACATGTCACAGTCTAACGGGCTGGTAGAGAACGCGAATAGGGTGATTAAGACTGCACTGCGACGAAACATCGCGGCACGGGATCCGAGACCCTGGCCCGATATCGTAGATCACATCCTGGCAGTCCATCGAGGAACGCCCCACGAATCGACAGGTCTGAGCCCCTTTCAATTACGGACCAATAGTGTAGCTTGTGTTTCAATACCGAGCCTCCTAGAAGAATCTTCGATGACTCGACGGCCCACGAGGGCCACGGTTCAGGACAAAGCCAAGCGGCACATGGAACTGATGGAGCGGTCCTTGCCCCGATTAGCTCGAAAGCGCCAGCGGATGATCGAATTGGCCCAAGGCCGACAAATCCGTAGCTACAAGGCCTGAAATGGGAATGCAGGTCCGTGGCCCCAGTGCAAATTGGGGGACATGGTGCAGGTGAGGAAATGTGCTCGCCAAGGGAAGATAGCGCCACGATTCTTTGGGTGATTTTGTGTGATCGAGCTCGGCCCGAACGGGGTGAATACCGTGCGGCTCGCGTCGGGCTCGCGCCGGAGGTCTTGAGAAGTCGATCGGCTCGACCGATCATCCGCCACGTGTCCTATCTACGTCCTCTCCCATCCTCTCCATCTCCACCTTCGCCTGCCCCCTCGTACGACACCGAGGAAGATGACGACGATCTAGTCTCCCCCTCCCCATCCCTCTCTCCCTCTGGCACTCCGTCTCCGCCTCCATCGCCATGAGCCTTTCAACGGAGCAGGTGATTAGCGCGCAACTGCTAACCTCGAGAGGGCGGATCAGTACAATCCGACAAGTACAGCGGCCACGCCTCAATACCGATCTCCTTCGGTTCGCGGCCTTCTTCAGCACGACGACAATCCACGCGGCAGCAGAATTCCGGTTTACGCAAGCGGCAGCGACACGTGTCTTGGCTGAGATTTCGGCCTTTCAACGCATGTCCCCTCCTGGGATCAGTCACATCACCCTCATCGTCGTTTTCATCGGGGATATTACAGCGGTGCCATCGGCGATCCATCCCGACATCTTCCGGACCTTGCGCGCTTGGGGTGAAGAGATTCAGACTGCGTGGACAACGCTCCTCGCTCGGCGCGGGGATACGGTCGTGCCCTCGCACAACATCGATCTGCAGCTCCGCTCTTCCAGCGATTCACCAATGATCGTGTTGTCGGAGCTTCGTCCCTTCGTGCCGCCCCGATGAGTTGTCGCCGCCTTTCTCTCTTTGGCCTCCCTTCTGACATCCCCACCCTTGGGCAATCTGCTCACGCCCCCTCTCTCTCCTATCGTATCAAGCAGATCAGTATGCCGATACTGAACGAGGAGAAGTGGGACGACTGGTGGGAGATGTACGCAGAGCTCGCTTTTTGCCTACTGGAAGTGGGGTTCCGCTGGTCTGAGCCAGCACCGTACGGAGAAGGACTTGAACTTCCAGACGACGAGGTGGAACTGCTGATCGTGCAAGCTTGGAGAACGGCGACGGAGGGAGATCTGTTGGGGATACTGTTTGGGAAGGTGGGTGACGGGAATCTCGCTCTGATTACGAGCCAGTTGCTGGTGTTCCTCACACATTTGGTGGACGACCTGCCTCTGGATATCTTATTGCGGTGTGACAATCAGCTTGGCACCCACGTGCTTTCCAGGACGCTCGAGCCGCGCCTGCTGTGGTCCACGTGTACTGAGTTGGACGACGACAACTGTGTCTACCCGTCCCAAGCCCTCTTCCTCGAGATCGACGTCACCGATCTCACACTGTGGGACTTCATCGTTCGACGAGGAAACGGCCGGCAAGGAGAAGAGGAGAGTGAAGACGACGACGAAGAAGAAGAATCGAGGGAAGATCGTGACGATCCTGATTATGTCCAAGGAGAAGAGGAGGAAGACGAAGAAGGTGAGCCAGCAGAGGAGGAGACTGTAGTGGGTGAGCCGAGTCAGCGGTTCGATCCAAGTAAGGAAGACGAGGAGGCAGAAGCACGAAAGCGGTTGGAAAAGGCAGAGGGAAAGCGGCCGATTACGGAAGGACCCCGCCTGATTTGTCGTTGCGGAATCCGTGGCTCGATCCAGAGCCCCCGAAGGAAGAAGAAGGAGGCGATGGAGCTGCAATGGAGGGATCAGGAAGACGTCGCCGAAGGAGGAGCGAATCGCCGGCTTCGCCTGGTTCCCCTGCCCGACCTGCCCTTCGCCTACGTCAAGATGAGGGCGATCGAGCTTCGTCCCCGGTCGTTCTCTCGTCGTCCCCTTGACTTACTGATGCTCACCCGACTCCCTGGTAGACCCCCATTCCCCGCTGGATGGTGCCCCTTCCCTCATGACCTCTTCTATCACCTCTACACCACCCGCCTCCTAGTCACCGTCGTTCCACACGCTACCACTCGCTCCGTAGTAGATTCTTTCCTTCTCCATGTTCTCTTGTTTAGTGCGGACTGGTGGGAATATAACCACATAGAAATATTTTGTATTATATCAGGAACGATCCCCGCCTGCGAAAATTATGAGAACTTTCGCACCGCTCTTCGCCGCACCCTCTCCACTCTCTTCCCCGACTATATTGCTTCCCTCCCCCACCATCGCGAGGGACCTCGTTTCCCCTGTATCCATCGCTCCATCCATTACACCTCCCTTCCCGCTTTCAAGTCTCCGACCATCAATCAGTTCATGCCTCCTCTCCCCCAGAATCCTCCAGCGCCTCCCCCGTCGGTGATCAGATTGCCCTTTCCGGGGAACTTGCAGGATGGAACGCTTCTCGCCCCTGCTTCCTGATGGTCACTGATGCGCAGGTGCATGGCACGTGTCACGGCGATGGCACGCACGATCCCCTCCTTCAATTGAAGAGAGCCCTTCCTAAGGAATTTGTAGGATAGAGCCTCGTATGCCACATTGGATGACTTCCACACTCTTATCACACAGTAAGTGGCAACGAAGAGAGCTCCGCGTGTCGATCGATTAGAGAAGATCGACACGTGTCGCAATGACAAGCAAGTAGGAGCTTGCTTAAGATTGGAACCCCCAGGTACGTACGACCGTATGAGTCGTTTCGGCGGCCCTCCCGGGGGGGTCTCTAACATGTGAGGGGGTGGGGGGGGTGTGCATGTCGGGGGTTACACCCCAAAGTAAAGAAAAAACGAAAAAAAAAGAAAAGTTTGTTCGGGGGTTTGCGGGGGGTGGGGTGATGGTGAGGGGTCGAGAAAAAAAACAAAAAGATTGATTGATTGATTGATTGATTGATTGATGATTGATTGATGATTGATTGATTGATTGATTGATTGATTGATTGATTGGGGGAGGGTCGGCCCGCTCCGCCCCCCCCCCCCCCCCCCCCACACGCACATGCACACACACACACGCACGTCGCGCACACACACACACGCACACACGCACACACGCACGTCGCGCACGCACACACGCTGTTGGAGGGCGCGGTGTCCTGGCCGTCCTCCGCGTACCGAGTCTCTGCTTGGTATCGGCCACTTGCTCCGATGTCGCGGCCTATGGGTATGTTCCCGACTCATGATTCTTGGTACCCAGGTCGTACCCTGACGTGGACCGACCCTGTTGGTGCCTGCCCTCTGCAAAAAGGGTGCGCCACAGGGCTTTCCATTGGTCCATGCAGGCTCGGCGCCCTGCTGTACAGCAGAGCACTACCGGCCTGTGGCCGTGGTAGCTGTCGGGCTCGCCCTGGGACGCGGAGGTGAAAAGACTGGCTCAGTCTTTTCAACTGCGCGCCAAGCGCCCCTCTAACTGGTTATGGGATAGGTACATGAGACAGTTCGCTGTCAAGAAGAAAATGTGTTGAACAAAGGAAAGACGAAGGAAGACAGAGTGTAAAAGTGAAAAGAAAAATTTTGCACCCGAGTAAGCGCGCAGATCGGGGCTTTTTGTCTTAAAATCGGAGTAATTCAGTGATAGCTGGTCACTGCATTGTGAAATTTCCTTTTCCCTTCTTTTTATTATTATTATTATTTTGCTGATTTTTAGAAGTGGGTTTCCTTTAGTCCCTGACGCTTCGCAGAAAGTCAAACGGTTCGAGGCTCGGGCGCGGCTGCAGTGTGTGGCCAGACTTACTTGGTCTGTCTTTCTCTGTATTGATGGTTGGGAGGCCCGATCGGGCGCAGCTGCAGTCTGTGGCCAGACTGACTTGGTCTGTTTTTCTCTGTACTGATGGTTGGGAGGCCCGATCGGGCGCCGCGCAACAGGACCCCAAAAGAGGGGCAACCCGCGGCCGCATCAGTAGGAGGCTCATCACCCCCTATAGAAGGTCATGAACCCCCTCCTTACCATCGGACACGGGTACCCGATAGTGGTAAGCCGACTGCAGGTTTTAGAGAGGGGTGGGCGTCCATTCGTAACCTGTTATGGGACCTCCGCGTCGTGTCTGCAGGTCACTTCTAAGCCTAAGAGGAAGCTAGTGATATGACCGTTGATGTTATGTCTCTCGTTTTTCTTCATTTTATTTTTATTTTTATTTTATTTTTATTTTATTTTATTCAACTTTATTTGAAAACTTAGTCGATTAAAAGCATAGAGCCATGAGAAGTGTCTGGGCTCTTTATTCTGATTATGGGGGCGCGATAGAGAGCGATCCCTTAAGAAGAGGGGACAGTGCCTTATACTGCTGGACACAGATGGTCTCGTTATGCGATCGCGACCGAGTTATGAGGAGGGAACAGAGTGGCGAAGTGGGCGTGCAAATCCGCCTGTGTGCCCCTGCTTGTGCACCTAGTAGTTGGTACTGGCTATTTGGGTCAGTAGGCGGGGCTGGTGCGGTGTCTGTGGAGCTAAGTCTGGCTATGGCGTTGCATGGATATAGACCCGGTTACCGGTACCACCAGGTTCGGTGGAAACCCATGTCTGGGGAAGGGCCTTGGATCACGGTAATACTTAACTACGATGGAGGAGATAAACTGAGATTGAGAATCAACGTGGAAGGGGCTAAGGAGGTGGAAATGCGGACTAACCCAAAACTACAGAACGCGATCACGGAGGCAAAGGATCGTGCGAAGAGGCGCTGCAGGAGGGACGGAGTGACAACAAAAGTAAAGGTAACGGTCTCGTATCATGAGACCGAGACCTCGATGGACACAGCGGACAGGGAACAAGCCCATGTGGACCGGGACTCGGGTGTGGAGAGCGAGATGAGCGAGGCAGGAGACCGGGAGACGGACCTTCAGTCCTGGAACAGGCCAGGCCAGGTCCGCAAGAACCACCCGCTGGCGCGACCTGTGGATGGTGGGGCCGAGACCAGCTCGCGGCAGTAGAGTCCAGAGGACGGGGGACAGGAAAGGGGGTGTGAGTGATCGACGCGCGGTACACAAGCGACACGTGGCAGTCCGAGGGAGCGAGAAGAGGTCAACGAAAGGGGAGACAGGCAAGCGCGAGGCGGTTACGCCTGTGCACGGTCTACACGTGGCGCGAGCTGTACGCGGACTGCCCATTGGGGAAGTAAGACAGGAAAGGTCATAGAGCGAGACAGGGGGACGTGCGCAGTGTGGTTGACGACAACCACTACCTACATGCTCGCGTGAGGCATGAGCCAACTATAATCGGCAGAAGAGAGAAAAGAGCGAGAGAAAGGGTAGGGGAGTAGAGAGCTCAACGCGGGCAGTTTTGTTGACGTCAATAGTTACCTGCACACTTGTGTGGAGCGTGTGTTACTGCTTCCGGTAGGGAAGTGTAGAGAGGTGTGGGTGAGAGAGGGAGTCTGAATGAAGGAGGGAGTCGGTTCCAAGAGAAGAGACGACCGTGAAGCTTGCGTGCTTGCGGAACACGGAGAAAGTCCGTGCTCCCACATAGAGTAGTTGACGTCATCATTACCTGGCTTGGAGTAGCGAGAACTCCGTCCACTTAGGGACCCGAGCTGTCACTTCAAGATAGCTTAAGAGTTGTCAGGGAAAGCTCATGACGACCAGCGCGTCTTCCACAAACAGTTCCCTCATGATGCCGCAGAAACAGGCCCCCTCACTACTCTGATCGATGCCTGCATGATCTGCTCGGCCAAGAACTAGCTGCTGAGAGAGTCTCATTTCTTTTTTTTCACTTACCGGCTGGCGCGCCCGCTCTGACGACCGCCTGTCTCACTACCTCCGAGTGACTTTCAACTTATAACGGGTACTGCTATCGAAAGTCATTGATGCGCTTCTTTGTAGCTGCCTTGGCCGAACCCTCAAATAAGATGGTGGCCATTGCAAGATAATTCCTTTTGTTTTATTAATTTCAGTTTCCTTTTTTCTTATGTTTTAGTTATTTAGAACGATTGATCGTTGTTAACCGATCATGTTACGTCTTGACAAGGGTTAAGCCCGCAGTAGACTGTGTGAGTGGGTGAACAGAGGAAAAGCCCCGAAAAGCCCCGACTCATAACGACGATTTGAAACGTGCAGGCCACGAGAAGAATCCAACGTATAGGCTACTAGTTTAAGGGAATTAGCAAGGTTGAAGCGGTTGAATAATCTTGGTATTGACACTTGTCTATTGGATGTATTTCCCTGCGTTGAGTGACACCACTTCCCCATGCGTTAGTGGCTCTTAATATGGCCACCAAAAGGGTATACTACAACAGTTCTCACTTACGCGAGGCGCCAAGAAATTCTAGAGGCCTTTCCGTGAATATAAGTTTGTCCTTCCCCTAGGAGTTTGTCTGGGATACCTCTCGTCCTCGCCCGAGAGAACCTCAGATCTCAGAAGTCGGGCTGGCTCCACCACAACATCATGGTACCCCCCCACAAAGCGGTCCACTCCGAGTCGATAACAGGGCCGGCCCCTAAGGCAACGAACCCCCGCCTCAGATGCCTCCTAGGAAAAGGAAAGGAATCTACCACGGTGAGCAAACGACCTCTTGTCGCCTGACGTCAATAACAACTTAGATGAAAAGTTATCACAGAAGGAAAAGTCATTCAGACGGACGGGCATAGATAGAGAGGGTCATTCGGGAAAGAACCGGTGACCTTGGGAAAAATCTATGTCCATTCAGACTTTACTTCTTAGTGATCGTTTTATTTATTTATTTATTTTTTCGTCATCTTCTTTCTTTTTTCGGTTTGACACATACATACAAGTGTGGAGAAGTGAGAGCAACCAAACATTAGCCATCTCATGGTCACACCCCCTTCCATTTCAATAAGCCACACCTGCAGTCGGATCAGACGACAAGTTCAACAGAAAAACAATGCAAACCCAAACTCGGGTACACCTGCAATCGGATCAGACGACAAGTTCAACAGAAAAACAATGCAAACCCAAACTCGGGTCAGACTCACATTCACTGATGATTCACATGCGCAAACACACATTTCCTCTACCTTTCAGTGAACATTCAAAGAACAGGGTCGAGCAAAGTGTGGGTTCACTCAGGCGTAATAGGGTCTGAGTCAAACTGACTGACCACTGACCTTGAAGTTTACTTGAGAAGTCATACAATTCTTGTCTTCAAAATTCTACTATGGCGAGTCTTCAGCAAAGTGATCTACACCACTCTCTTGTTGCGACCCCTTACCACAACACCCCCTCGCTTACTTTTCGGTAAGTGTCACCGCCACTTGCTTCCACCGTCACTGAGTTCCAGCGCCGTCAAGTCCACGCCACCTCAAAACACACCACTCTAGTGGCACCTCCCCTGCGCCAATGTACAGTTGCTGCTCAATGCAAAAATACTGCCGTCACCACCGTAAATCTTGTGCCGTCGTTGTAAAAATATTTTGTAGTGCCTCCGCACCACTGCCGTTAAACTTAGTGCCGCTGCCGCAAAAAATTCAGCAGCGCTTCCGCACCACCTCCATCAAACTTAGTGTCGCTGCCACAAAAATTCGGCAGCGCTTCCGCACCACCGCCGTCAAACTTAGTGTCACCGCCGTAAAAATTTGGCAGCACTTTCGTACTACCGCCGTAAAACCTGCGTCGCCGCCGCAAAAGTTCGGCAGCACTTCCGTACCACCGCCGTAAAACCTGCGTCGCCGCCGCAGAAATTCGGCAGCACTTCCGTACCACCGCCGTAGAACCTGCATCGCCGCCGCAGAAATTCGGCAGCACTTCCCCACCGTAGTGGAAAAATGGCAGGCCAAAACTAGTAAAATTTGGGCCCCAGGCCCAAATTCCACTTTGCCGCACTGCCGTAGCAATGCATGTCCCTGGATTAGTCCAGGGGGACTGGCACCAGCCAAAGGGGAGGGGAGCAGAGTGTTCCCTGCCTTGGCTATGGCTGCCCACTTTTTGCTCTCCCCTCCCCTGAAAACGAAGAGGGCAGTTGTCAGTTTGGGAGGAGTAGGACCTCCCCCTCCCAACTCTCACGTCCCTCCTCCCTTCCTCTCTCCAGCCAGCTCCCACAGCCCCATTCCACGCGCACGTCGTGGGCCGCGAGATCCTGGATCTCACGGCCACGGATATTTGTGGTTTGGTAGGTGGGGAGCTGGTCCTGCTCCCACACAGCCTGAAAAGGCTGTTCTTTTCATCCACGAGGTAGGTTGCCTCGTGTTTTTTTTTTTTTTTTTTTTTACTGTTTTAAGTTTTTTTCGTTTCAGCCCCCCTCGTTCTCCCTGTTTGGTCGAGCTACAACGGCTCACGAATGGGGAAGTGGAGAAAAAAAAAAAAAGAAAACTTAACTGTAGTTCGTCTGCATACCCCCGAGTTCTGGGGGTAGATTCATTCGATTTTGCTCATCCTAAGGTTGGTTTCCACGACGAGGGGCCAACCTTAGGTAGGTAGGTAGGTAGGTGCCCTTCTTCATTCTCTCTCTCTCTCTCTCTCTCTCTCTCTCTCTCTCTCTCTCTCTCTCTCTCTCTCTCTCTCTCTCTCTCTCTCTCTCTCTCTCTCTCTCTCTCTGTGCATCACCCCGACAGTTGCGACCGTTGCCAACGGCGCACGAATCTGTCGTGAAAAGTCCCCTATGGTGCCGCAAAGTCGTTCGTTCGACCACCAAAGAATGACTCACTCGTCCCTCACAGACTGGAAACCACCCAGAGAGTGTGCAGTGAGTCCCTCGTAATTCAAGCAGAGGTCCCAAAACCTGGTGCCCAAATGTAGTCGCACTATGGAGGCAAATACATTCGGGTTTTGCTCATCCTACCACTAGAGGTAGCAGCCCGTTCGTTGGGCATTTTTACTAATTTTACTAATAAAAGAGAGAGAAGAAAAAGCAAAAAAAAAAAACGAACAAAATCCTCAAAGAAATCTAAATAAAAATGTAAAGCAAATCTATAAAAGAAATCTAACAAAAAAAAAGAAAACTTACCTGAAGAAACGGTTTCCCGTTCGAAACGGGAACTGTTCAGGTGTACTGGGGATCCAAATGCCCCACGTACTTCAGGTTGCGCCATGTGGCGCACCGCCTGTTATTGTTTTTTTTTTTTTTTTTTTTTTTTTTTCTTTGCGCCTGTACCCAAGCTCCTATGAGCGCCGGGTTCGGGCGCTACAACACCCAGCTGCTCGTTTAAAAGATGAACGGGCGCCGAGCTGGGATTTTTTTTTTTTTTTTTAATAATAATAAATAAATAAAATAAAAAATAAAAAAATTTGGATCATTTCTCGATTTATGCGTGTCATCCTTGCGAAGGGGCCATGCTAATCTAGGCGCGCATGGCTGATTTCAGCCTTGCGATCTCGTCGATCGTGCGGCCGAAACCGGCCGCGCCGGCCCAACTAGTTGCTCCAAAAGGAGTCAGCCCAAGGTCGTATACAGGTTCGATCCCCACATCTCTAAGGTGACAATCAAATGGCGGTACCTACTGGGCTAACTCATTTCTCACATTAAAAAAAGAGCAACCCTTCTATATGAAGGGTTGCGGCACTCAGCAGGCTGCCCTCCAGCGCTTAGCAGGTTCTGCCTGCTAAGCCCGCCTGTTATCGTGGCTGGCTGGTCGGGTTGGCGGCCCACGGCCTTAACAACTGCCCTACTTAGCAGGCCATAATGCCATCCTCTCCGGACCTCGGTGCGAAAGCCCCGCGGACCCAACAAAAAAAAAAAAAAACCTTCCTATTCCTTCCGCGCTGCGGCTCCAACCTTCGTCGCAATGACCCCTTTTTAACCTACTTAGGCCCTGAATCACACGGATGACATTGTTTTAGGTAGAATAAAACTAACTTTAGTCTTTCCATGACCACGCATCCCTGCGGTCTTGTCGGAAATTGCGGTCGAGTCGAAATATTCCAATAGCATGTCTATTTCGTCAGACCAAATTCCACGAACTTACATCAAAATTCGGACTTCGTCCGACATCGAAAATACAGGGCAGATACGCTTGTCAGGGTTTCTGTCCCGACAGCGTATACTAAAGACAAAATTTGACAGCCTATAATCCTATCTCTGAAAACAAACCCTAAACTCT